CCCTTGTTGACAGTCTATTCTCTCCTGGAGGCCAATTAAAAGCAGGAGTCCAACCTCACCTCCAGCTGTGTGAACTTGCCAACCTAAGTCCTGCCTTGGCATATGAGAGGAAGTACCACAGGCCAGCACAGGTGGCTCATGCCTGTGACCCTAGCACTCTGGCAAGTGCTTGAGCTCAGGAGTACGAGGCCAGCCTGAGCAAGAGAGAGACCTCATCTCTACTAAAAAATAGAAAAACAAGCCAGGTATTGTTCCGGAAGCCTGTAGTCTCAGCTACTCAGGGAGACTGAGTCAAGGGGTTCTCTTGAGCCCAAGAGTTTGAGTTTACAGTGAGCTAGGCTGATGAGGCACTCTAGCCTAGGCAATAGAGCGAGACTCCATCTCAACAACAACAAAAGTGTCACACAGCTGGATCAGAGTAAGTGAAGTGAGGATTGTATTTTGTGAAACAAACAAGCCACAAAGAAATGTGCCTGGGTTAGTTTTTTTTTTTTTTTATTTCTCTGAGCTGGAATCAAAAGTCCTTCAGGTCATGCTTTGTCATCCTAAATCTCATCAGATGCGTGCTGTGCTTCCCACTGCACAACTCTCCATCTAAGCCAAGCCCCTTCCCTAGAGTTGATGTCCTTGCTTGGTGACACAAAGTATAAAGAGCCATGTAAAGGGGGCAGCGGGTGAGAGCATCATCCCCAAGGATGCTTCAGCATGGTCCACAAGACAGGGAGACATGTTTAATGCACTCAGAATCAAGGCCTAATCAAAGGCATATTTAGTTCAACCCAACATTTATGTAGGGCTCTGCAAATGCCAGGTGCTAAGAAAAACAGAGGAAAATGCATGGCAGTGGTCTCAGCGCCTAAGCAACATATATTAAATGTGTGTATTAAATGAGTCAATCTAAAGTAAGGCAGTAGGCCTTATAATAAAAGTGCAGAGTCTGTGGGGCTGAGGAAAGAGGCATCAGAAGGGACATCAGGGAGGAACAGCAATGGCCGCTGGAGAACTTGGTATTTGAGCTGTTGGAGGGTCTGGGCTGGAGAAGGAGGCTGCACCTTGTAGGCAAATCTGCTTTCCTGTCGTGCCCGTAGTGTGTGTCTGTGCTTCTCAAAGTGTCTCAGTAAATTAGGTGCTGAATATGTGTTTGTTGAATCAGCAAAGGAATGAATAAAGTAGAGATGAAAATAAAATCATTCTGGACAAAGGAATAAGATATCTTATTGAGGGGTATATAGAGAATCTTGAAAGGCAGCCTTTGAAGCTTAATTTTGTAGTCCACGTAGATTTTGCAAGGGAGCAGGATTGTATTTTTGTCTCTGAGAGAGAATTCTGCCAGCAGTGGGAGGGCTCCCTGAGGGGAGGAAGACTCGGGCAGGGAAGCCAACTAAGTCACGGGGAGCTTTGCCTCTCCACACCGAAAAGAATTATTTTGTTAGTAGAAAAACGTAAGCTGGGGAGGCGCCTGTGGCTCAGTGAGTAGGGCGCCAGCCCCATATACTGAGGGTGGTGGGTTTGAACCCAGCCCCGGCCAAACTGCAACAACAACAAAAAATAGCTGGGCGTTGTGGCCGGTGCCTGTAATCCCAGCTACCTGGGAGGCTGAGGCAGGAGAATTGCCTAAGCCCAAGAGTTGGAGGTTGCTGTGAGCTGTGACGCCACAGACTCTACTGAGGGCGACAAAATAAGACTTTGTCTCTAAAAAAGGAAAAAGAAAAAAAAAGGGGAACGTAAGGTTGGATGATAACTTCTGCAGATCTGGCTTCTTGGCCTGAGGTTTTCCCAGGTTGGGAATGATGCAATGAGTTAGCTCAAGGCCACTGGGTCACTGCCAGGGCTCAATTAGGAAATTGTGCCTGGAGGATAACCTACATTTTTCTGACTTTTCCAGGCTGGAAACTTTGCCAGATGGCCCTGTCAAGAGACTCTGTGATGCCTTGCAAGGCCGTCCTTCACTATTCTAGCATCGAGTGTGAAACTGGTCTCTTGTAGAAATGGGCTCTGGTGAGTCCCTGTAACTGACTGAAGTGGTAGTACAAACAGAAGGGCATGTAAGGCCACCGTAGGATAAGAAGCAAGTGCCGTTGAGCTTCTGAGCACGGTTCAAAGGGATTGTTCGCGCTTATCTCTTGCTTCTTTGGCTGTGGTGAAGAGGTTGGGCTCTGGAGGTTGAAATTTTCGTTAAGATCATCACTGCCTCCCAGTGTCTTCTCTGCCTCCTCCCCTAGTCTACGCCCAAAGCGGCTTGTGTCAGCACCTTCTCTGCTTTCCCTGAGATGACGCCTAACATGGCGCTCAGAGTGATGGAGAAGACGTGGCCGAGGAACCAGGAGGTGTCCCCACCTGAGTTAACTCTGCCGGGGAAGATGCAATCTGGTGCTTCCTGTCAAAGCAGCTGCTCAAATTGCATCCTGGGTTTCCGACTCAGGCTCCTGAAGGGGGCTTGGCTGAGCGACCAAAGAAACCACAGTGCTTGTGACAGACATCAGGAAGTGACATCCTCAGCCTCATCCCAGGGAACCTGGCAAGTGTGGCCCTTACACAGGGTCCATCAGGTTTCCCTTCACCATGGCAGGTGAGCAGCTTACTAATAAAAATGTTCATGAAGCAAGGTGTTCTGGAATATGTATTTTCTTTTTCCTTTCTTTTTTTTTTTGAGATAGAGTCTCACTCCATCACCCTGGGTAGAGTGTCTTGGCGTCATAGCTCATAGCACCTCAAACTCCTAGACTCAAGCAATCCTCTTGCTTTAGCCTACCCAGTAGCTGGAACTATAGGCACCTGCCATGACACTGGGATAAGTATTCTTTCTTTTTCTTTTTTTGGTAGAAATGGGTCTTGCTGTTGCCCAGGCTGATTTCCAACTCCTGAGTTCAAGGAACCTTCCCATCTTACCTTCCTAGAGTGCTAGGATTACAGACCTGAGCCACTGAGCCCAGTTCAACAAAATTTTCAACTAAAGCACACATAGAAAGAGTTCACACAAATCACAAGTTTATGGCTCAATAAATTTCTCAATCTCTTTTAATCTGTAGATTGTCTACATATTGGCCCTTCCTCTCTTTTTTCCTTTAGAATTTGTTTGATAAAGAATACGTTTGAGGGCTTGGCGCCTGTGGCTCAACTGGCTAAGGTGTCAGCCACATACACCTGAGCTGACGGGTTCGAATCCAGCCCGAGCCACCAAACAACAATGACGGCTGCAACCAAAAAATAGCCGGGTGTTGTGACGGGCGCCTGTAGTCCCAGCTACTTAGGAGGCAGAGGCAGGAGAACTGCTTGAGCCCAGAAGTTGGAGGATGCTGTGAGCCATAATGCCATGGCAGTCTACAT